GGTAAAAAATGTAGAAGGTACATGTAAAACTTACTTTTTCAAAATTCACAGGAATAACGATTTTTGGTTTTAATTGGTTTTTAGTTTTAAGGACCGCTGGCTTTTTTTAGTTTATACAATGTATAAATTTCATTTTAATAGACTTGTAATTAAGCAATTTTTCTCTAATTTAACCGACCTTGTAGCTCTTCAAATAAAAAAACTAATCATAGAAGTAAACTTGGTGCACCCTGTATATATTAGGTTGATTCGTTTTAAACACAGGTCTGTGGTTTTAAACCTTTTTTTTTCAATCCCACATCAAAATTTGTTTATCAATTTCCCATAACTTGACGGCATTTTAAGCTACTATAATTTACATACATATATGTACGATTTGTAGATTATTAGATGCTCTTTAAAAGTACTTGCAGAAATTTTACTAGAACTTATATATTTTGACCTGTATTATAAGTTATAGGTTATACGTATAATACGTCGAAAAATGATTATTTTTAATAAAAACATGTTTGTTAGCATTTTACGGCAAAAAGGTTAAAGTTACCTAAAGGTAAAAATATTAATTGAGGTAAAATGTATAAAAAATCCTAAATTTCCTTTGTTTCAATGGAAAAACTTTTAAATCAAAATTAAAATACCTAGGAGTGAGATTAAGGTCTAAAACTTTAAGGGGATTTTTTTTGATATATGCATTAATTTTGCTGAGGAATTGGAAAAAAATGTTCGTTCGTACACTCAAAAAAATGTACATGCACTGATAATGAAACTAATTTTGTAAGCGATTAATAAAATAATATGATTTAACTTAAATTTAAAATTATAATGGCTATAAAAAAATGTACCTTATTGGGACAAAAACCTATGATTTTTCGAAGTAATGAGATTATTTTTATTTTCAAAATAAACTTTTTTTAATGTTTTTAAAATTCTCATTTACTATAATGAAGCAGCAATGTTGAGCTTCTATAAAAAAAAAGTTCATCCAACAAAGTAATAGTTGTTATCAAAATATCAAAAAGATCACTTAAAAAATTAAAATTTTGACGTTTTCTAAAAGAAACATTTAAGGTCTATTCTATAAACGAAACAGACTTGTTTAAAAAGTGATTAATATTTTTTTTATTTTGTACCTAAGTACATCATATAATATGAGATAATTTTTTTGTTATAATAAATAATTTGATTTAATGCCTTAAAAAAAACTACCCAATACCCAACAGTAGGTTGAAAATGTGACCATTGTTACAATGAAAATAGTTTATTGAATTATCAATTAATTTGTTGTTAAATTTACATAAATTTTATTAATATTATAAAAAAAGTTTTTAAAACGAAAAGGGATTTGTAAAATGTACAACATTTCTATGAATAATAATAATAATACTATTAGGGTTTCAATAATACTACAAAACTTTTTTGTAAACGGTATAGAACTGTTTTTTTTGGACAAATAATAACTAGGTATATTTATCAATGCCTTTTTGCATCTGGAAAAGTGTTATTTTTCTAACGTAAATTTACTTTATAATTAATGTTTGTAGATAAATAATTTTTATAAAAATTATCTTTTTGTCGTAACAAAAGCAACTGTTGGACGAATAGGGATCTTTACTTTATTAAGACAAACTACTTTTGTTATATTTATTAAAAAAATTCTGAGTGGATATGTGGGTAATTCGATACATTCTATAATTTTTTGGTTATTTAAAAATCGAATCCTTCCTGGGAAGTTTATTAGGTTGATTTATCAAGTTGGTTTAAAAAAATTCTACTCCAATAATGCCTTAATGGATTTACCAAAAAATGGCAGAAGTTTATAAATAAAAATGATTTCAATTTTGGATTGAATCACTTAACGCTCCCATGAGATGCTAAACATCTAATAATATAAAATTTAACCCAATAAGGTTCCTTTAAACGGTCATCATTGACCTAAGAGACTTCAAATTATCATTTACCGCTAAAATCAATGATTTCTAACCGTCATTTATTCAACAGTGGAACTATTTAGGATAATTTGATTCTACCTTATATACAGTATACCAGTGGCGGCTGGTGGATTTTGGCACACCCATATCTCAGTTATTAGACATGGGACCCACATCAAATTTATATGAGTTTATAATGACATTATATAGACAAGTTCTGCGCAAGCAGAATTTAAATTAAAGTTTGCGAAAAAAAGTTAGTTTTTAAATGCAACCCCCAGCCTCCTGCCCCTCCAAATTAAGATAATTCAAATTAAAGTGGTACAATATTTAATTCACTGAAGTTTATCGACAAATTTCAAATTTTATTAAAAAAATTCAAGTATTACAGATTTTATACCATTTCAAATTTTTTTAAATTAAGTAAAAGAAATAATAAAAATTATAAATGGTATAAAACCTGTAATTCTTGAAATTTTTTAATAAAATTTGAAATTTGTCGATAAACTTCAGTGAATTAAATATTGTACCACTTTAATTTGAATTATCTTAATTTGGAGGGGCAGGAGGCTGGGGGTTGCACTTAAAAACTAACTTTTTTTCGCATACTTTAATTTAAATTCTGCTTGCGCAGAACTTGTCTATATAATGTCATTATAAACTCATATAAATTTGTTGTGGGTCCCATGTCTAATAACTGAGATATGGGTGTGCCCAAAATCCACCAGCCGCCACTGCAGTATACTTATTTCAGCATTTTTTCATACACACCCCACCATTTTAAACATCAAATAAGTACTTATTTATTTACGTACGGCTAAGGATGTACTGTACAGTTAGAGTATGTTCTAGTTTTGATATAACAAGTAGTCACTTTTTGACCTTAGATGGTATGGTATAGAGGCCTTACTTATAAATTGTTCATTTTTGTGAATACCGCAGTTAGTGTATGTTTTTTCACCGTTATAATGGCCGATGGTTTATAGGAACATTACCATAAGTTTCCGCCCATACAAGGACATAACTTAATAAATAATTTAATGCCACACATGAGAACTAGCGGTTATGTAATGACGATTTAATATGCACCTATATGCAATTATTACTGGCTGATAGTTATTAGGGATTTTTTAAGTGACGTGTACCTTTACTATATACCATAGTTAGATTAAAAACAAGTTTAAAACTTGATTTGGTACAGCAATTGCTATACCTATCTGTTTATTAATATAAAATTATATAACTTTTCAAAAATTGGCGTCAAAAAACTATTTAATAATTTTGTATACAGGGTGTCCCAAAAGTCAACGATATCCTTTGAAGGACTAATAGGCCAGCTCATGACTAATCAGAATATGAAAACATGACATAAGAAAAAAATCATTAGTTTTAAAGAGTTTTTAAGATATTGGCAATTTTTCGAGTGCCACAGCTACAAAATCTACTATTAGTTTAATTTTGAATTTTAATTAATAGCAGGCCTATTCAGGGTTACGCAACATAAAATATAATCTAAGATTATATAATAATTATTGTGTAGCTGATCTTAAATGTCAAGTTTCACAAAATTCATAAAAATGCCAATATCTTAAAAACTAATGATTTTTTAAAGGTCATGTTTTGATATTTTGATTAGTCCTGAGCTGACCTATTAGTCCTTCAAAGGATATCGTTGACTTTTGGGACACATTGTACTTATATTCCACATTTAGTATTATTTACTAAAAGGGACTTTATTTTGACAATAGTGTGACATTTGACAACTATCAACTAAGTTAAAGCTAACTTCAGCCCGTGACTAAAAACCTGTTGCTAACTTCAACCCGTGACTAAAACGCCATACAGTCACAGCTTGTCTATTTGTACTTAAAAAATCACTCGTTTATTTAACACTCGCTCCGCTCGTGAATAAAAAGGTCGTTTGTTAAACTTGTTGCATAATATACTATTCAAAGATCGAGATATGCCAGATATTTCGTTAATATTTATTATTATAAATACTTTTTTGTAATTTTTTTAAATTTATTTTGGAAACATTTTAAAAATATTTTATTATTAGTATATTTAAGACAGTATAATCGCATAATCTCGAGTGTAATCCAATAAGTAGATAATTAAATAATTTTTAAAAATAAATAAATAAAATTTGACATCTGTCACTTTTTGCCAATTTTTAATGTTATTATGGTCGCCTACTCCCAATTTAAAACCCGATTGGTTCTAATCACAGTGAATATTGAAATTGATGCCTAACAACGTGAATAATGAGTTCATTATTCCCGTTGTTAGGCAGGGAATTTATAATATTTATTATTTACGAAATAAAAGTAGATACAGACTATTTTAGGGCAGTTCTAAAACAATTTTTAAACATTTTTATAATATTTTAAAATGGAAAATTTTTCAAAAAAAAAATAAAACCCAAAGTCAATTTTTTCCGCATTTTTACGAGTTTGTGGAAAAAATGTATTTTCTTTATTAAAACTGGGGTGGTAAATAGCACTTTTTCGCAGGCTTGTAGAATTTTAAAACAATTATAAAATAGTCAGTGGCGGATCCACGGGGGGTTTGGGTCTGGACTCCCCATTTGGTATCAGAAAAAACACAAAATGTCATTTGTTTATATTATTATTATTATTCTTATTATTAGTAAATTATTATTATTATTATTATTCGTAATTATTTAAAGTATAGAAATTTTTGTGGACCCCTTTTATAAAAATCCTTGATCCGCCCCTGGAAATAGTTGGTTTATATTTAAATTATGATATTTTTGAAATAAAAAAACTTTTAAATGTTTGAAGTCCAAAAATGCAATTTACATTTTTTTTTATTTGGCTAGACTTCGCCCAACAATTTATGTAAACTTATTTACTAAATAAAGACTTTTTATTATTATTATTATTAAAATGACCTGTTTTGTTAAAATATTAAATTTGTAATTTTTTTATTTAAATTTAAATTGGCATACCTACATGTTTCAGGAATTTAGTTATTGTGTCATATTATAGCAAAATTTGGTGTGGTATTTTCTTATGAAATCTAAAGATGCAATTCTTAAAAACGTCTTACCATAATTGTTTACAATAATTTTCTAAAAGCGAAGTCCTTGTTAATCCCAGAGGTATCACAGTAACTTGTCTTCTAAATAAAATAACCTACAAATAAATCCTTAAACGACTTAAACTTCATCTGTTCATAATTGGTCCACCACCAATTTGCACTTCTCGACGGGGATCAACAAGTGGTAGCTACACTAAACTTAAAACGCAGCACCCTGAGAGATTGGTCTTTCTTATCGTCATTTAGGCGTGATGCCCTTTTTGCGCGATGCCCGGTGTATAAAATCGCGATTCCAACGCGCGCGTTCAACCGCTGCTCGGCCTTCTTGTGTTGCGACTGTCTTGGGGTTTACCTTTGCGATAGAAAGCAAAAGGACTACGTCAGGTGGGCTAGGCGATGTTGCCGCGGTGACCGTGTGGAAGTACCTTTCTTGTAATTGTGGAATACTGCAGTTTAATGCAATAATGAATTAAATATTAGGTACATTTGAAACTCATAATAATCATAAATAATAATTAAAAAGTATTTTGGATTGAACATGGTGTGCCTGAACGAAGTTTACGTCACATAAAAATGCCGCCAAAAACTGATTGCAGTTTCTTGTTCGGGACCCTTTGGTGACTTAAAAATGATATTTCCCAAAATCCCAGCTGCTCCTTTTTTCGAAATTTTTTGAAAATTCATGATATTTTTTTAAAAATTTTGTTTATTTCAAAGTCTACCTTTGACAGAGTACACATTTGTACACCGATTTTTATAAAATTAGAGTATATTATTGAGGAGACTAAAAGAATACTTTTTAATACTGTTCACATCATTTGATATATACAGGGTGAGCCAAAAATCGCTTATTTTTAATAAAGCAAAAGCGCAATTTCATGATTTTGGCATAACACGCAAAAAAGATTTATCCCCATTTTTTTTAGATATTTCTACGTTTATCAGGTTACAAAATGGCATTCTTATTAACCTTTTATGAAAAAAAAAATAGATTTTTAATAAAATTAAATAAAATAACGCTTAGAAAATATTTAAAATGTTGTTTAATTTAGGCTTTTTAGTAGTTTTCAATTTTGAACGAAAAACTGATTAAAGTTTTTTGATCGGCACTCTTTGGAGATTATCATTTATTTATTTATTTATTCCAAAATTCCTTTTGTACATTATACAATAAGGACCTATAAGGAGCATTAATGCTATTTAACGATATTTACAAAAATTCTAACTTCGAAGATCTTTTTTTAAAATTTGTTAAAAATCATTTTTTTTAATTACTTATTTATTGCCAGAGTACACATTTGTACACCGATTTTTATTGATTGCAGTTTCTTGTTCGGGACCCTTTGGTAACTTTAAAATGATATTTACCAAAATCCTAGCTGCTCCTCATTCGGAATTTTTTGAAAATTCTTAATTTTTTTTTAATTTTTGTTTATCTTACCTTTGACAGAGTACACATTTGTACACCGATTTTTATAATATTGGAGTATATTGTTAACGAGACTTGGAGAATACTGTTTTCATACTGATCACATCATTAGATTTATACAGGGTTAGCCAAAAATCACTTTTTATATAAACTGCGCACCACTCAATGTGTCCATTGTTCGTTCTTTTTCGGAACGACATAACTTTTATGTTTCTTGAACGATTTTATTTTGGTCTGTGATGTATCCTAGCCCCATCCTCTGGCAATTCATGATATAGATATGAAGCTCAAGGTTCTTCAAGTAAATTTCCTACAGGGTGATATGTTAAACGGTGAAAAATTTCAATAACTTCATCCAAGCCCCGTTTGTAAAAAAATATTTTTTTTTCGTTTTTACTTTGAAATAATAAAGTATTATGTCTTACCTTGAAAAGTTTTCCAAATTTTTCCAATTGGAATCGTAGCAACGAAAATATGATTTTTTTTCCAAAAGAGTAAGGCTTTTTTGTAGGCAATTTAACGTCCGGGAATTGTTTTCGAATTTTGATTCTTAGTGATTTTGGTTTTAAGTGAAACTTAAATTTGACAACTGAATCACAAACAGGAGGTCAAAATTATAAAGAAAACCTGTCACGAACGTAAATATCGGTTCAGAATTAGTTTTCGCAAATTTTCACCAAAATGTCATTTTGAAAAAGTGGTCCTTGCTTAGGCCCCTCTGAAATAATGGAAGTTTGTTGCTTTTCGCTTGTTCAGAATTATTCAAGGAACAATCTTTCATGGTGCACCATTTTATCTCCTTGTTCTTAAAAAGACTGAGTGTATTGCCTACCAAAAAGCCTTAAATGTACTGTTTCTAAAAAAAAATTATATTTTCTTTCCTAAGATTCCAATACGAAAAAAATTAAAACCTTTTCAAGGTAAGACATGATACTTCATTATTTCAAAGTAAAAACGAGAAAAAAAATATTTTTTTACAAACGGGGCTTGAATGAAGTTATTGAAATTTTTAACCTTTTTACATATCACCCTGAACAAAATTTACTTGAAGAACTGTGAGCTTCATATCTATAGCATGAATTGCCAGAGGATGGAGCTAGCAGAAATTACAGACCAAAATAAAATCGTTCAAGAAACAAAAAAGTTATGTCGTTTTGAAAAAGGACGATCTTTTTGGTCGTGACACATTGAGTGGTGCGCAGTTTAGTAAAAAGCATAATGGACAAAAAAGATTTATCTCCAAAAAATGTTATTTTATTTAATTTAATTCAAAATCAATTTTTCTTATAAATTCTTAATAAGAATCCCATTTTGTAGTCTGATAAACATAAAAATATCTAAAAAAACATGGATTGGTATATATCTTTTTTGCGTGTTATGCCAAAATCATCAATTTACGCTTTTGCTATTAAAAGAAGCGATTTTTGGCTAACCCTGTATATATTAAATGATGTGCACAATATAAAAAAGTATTCTCCAAATCTCCTTAAAAATATACTCCAATATTATAAAAATCGGTGTACAAATGAGTACTCTGTCAAAGGTAGACTTTAAGATAAACAAACATTTAAAAAAAAATCAAGAATTTTCAAAAAATTTCGAAAAGAGGAGCAGCTAGGATTTTGGTAAATATCATTTTTAAGTCACCAAAGGGTCCCGAACAAGAAACTGCAATCAGTGTTTGGCGGCATTTTTATGTGACTTAAAGTTCGTTCAGGCACACCGTGTGAAAAATGATTTTAAAAGGAGAAAAGGGATTTTATTTAAAAAAACATAAACGGTTTAAAGAAAAGGGATTTTATTTAAAAAAACATAAACGGTTTAAAGAACATGATTTTAAAATTTAAATAATTAAACAGAATATTAAAAAATTTAAAAATTGAAATAAAAAATTGTAATTTTTTAATTTTTGCGTTTTAAAAAGAGTAACGAAAAATTATATCACTTGATAATTGTTATATACAGGGTGTTTTATAACTGGTTACATAAAATCTCATATGAAAAATTTTTATAAAAAATCGGATATTTCAAATTAAATAACTTGAAAATAAAGCAAAAATAAAAAAAATATGAATGTAAGAATTTTTAATTTTATGTTTAAAATCAAATTTGCCATATTAGATTAAATTTTATTTCACCAGTAACTGTGTAATATTAGAGATGAGACGTGAAAAAAAATACTTTTTTATTTCAAATGTATTATTATTTTAAATTTTAATCGTAGTAGGTACCATATGCCAATTTTTTACATTTTTTTCATTAAAAATTAAAGTTTGCGAATTATAGACGAAAATTCGCGTATTTACATATATTTCACGTAAAGTGACAATACATATTTAGTATTCGTTGCCACATTTAATATATAATTTTTTTATGCTGAAACTATATCTAGTATACCTATACTAAATAATTAGAAACTATTTTTAATTATGGAAAATTTCCATGACACTAAGTGACCTTTTAAATACACATTGACAAGCTGTGGCTTTATGGCCCTTTAGTCACGGGCTGAAGTTAGCAACAAGATTTTAGTCACGGGCTGAAGTTATTTTTAAGTTAGTTGACAGTTGTCAAATGTCATACAATCGTTAAAATAAAGTGACCTTTTTTAAAATAATCCTAAATGTAAAAGTTATTTTATTCTCTCAATACAAATATACAAAAGTATATTTTAAATAGTTTCTTAACGCCAATATTTAAAAAGTTTATATGAACATTGTACTGACCTTTTAATTTCGCCGGCAGTAAACTAGATTTAACTTAATTTTGGGTTGAGACCACCGTGGAGTGCCAATAAAACATTTTCTTTACTTTCACTGTGAAAAACTGCTTCTATATAGGATTTTTAAAGGATACATTTCATTTACACATAAAAATTTGACATTTGACATAATAAAAATTTCCAAGTTGGTTACTTTATTGTTTTATAGATGTCGCTCTATACAAATGTTCAGAAGTGCTTATACCCCAGAATCCATGGTTTCTATAATAAGGTACCTACTCTAATTTCTAGATTGAGTGTGCAGCATAAATTCTCCATCCTGAAAATATTGATTTTATTTGAAGCGTTTTATATTATGTTATTGTATTTTAATAAAGACTTTTATTGAAGATACGGAATTATTTTTTAAATTCTGGTACTTATTTTTTTGTTATTTTCTGGTAATTGATAAGATTCTATCTGGCAACACTGTACCCCATTTTTCCATTTTCTTCGATGTGAATTATCATAGCGATTTAAAAAGCCATTTTCGCTATACTTTTTATAGTATTATGTGTTTACCAAGAAAAAAACTGTACATTTCTAAATATTAAAAAAAATTAACTAGGCAACAATTTTGAAGAACTGTAACCAAAGATTTTTTTAAAAGCTTTGGCAACACTGTATATACGTAGAAAATTGAACTCGCTCGTCCAAAACCGTAGACATTCGATTCTTGTATCTCGCTTGTTCTTTAGCTATGGTAAAACACAAATTCTTTTGTTTTAACCATTTGTCTCCATCAATTTACCGCTATTAAATTAAAACTGTTTTTTTCTAAAGATACCTTCGATGCCTACAACTAAGAATAGATTATTTTATCAGCGTACAACGTAAAACTTAAATATCAAGTCGGCGGAAATGTATATACCTATCGAAGTAGGCACGTGGAATGACGTTAAGGTTCGTTGTTTCACAAGCGTTGGAGTCTCCGAAATTGGTGTGTTTTAGCGAAGTTGATTTCCAATTAAAAAATTGTTTAGGTTGATTGTAAAAAGGTATAGATAAAAATTAAACAAGATTATATAAAAAGACGTTTTAATTTTAATAAATAAAATTTCAAAAGTTTTTTTTACAAAATCACATATATTTTTTAATAATTTACACACACATAATATTATAATAATATTATTCAAGTGTCGCAATGG